TGAAACTCATACTGGTGTTTCCATTTGAAACCGAGGCAACTTTTCATAGTCAACTCCAGAGTACTCTCATTTCCTTGGGTGCACAGGATTAGGTACAACCACTTTGGTAAAGAAAGCTCGCTTACAACAACTCCATGGATTTATTTCACTTGCATGAAGCTGTTGATTAAGAACAATAACCTTCATTGTGGGTTGAGGCTTTTGCCTGAATGTGTGAACTACATGTCTTGGAAAGTATGATGAAAGATTTGTGTCGTTGGTTCGTTTACTTTAACGCATGCAATTTTCCATGATGAATATGCAGATGTGAACTCTCAGATTTTTAAAGAAGAAGCTGATGTCAGTCATAAATTATGGTTAGCAGATTGCATCTTATAGATCAATGCTTGAGGAGAGTACTGTACTAAGAAAACATTCTGACATTGAAGCTACATATTGGGTTATGCTGTTTTGTTGTAGGAAGCTGCTTCTTTGTGATGGGATGGAGTTATTGACTGCAAAACGATTGCTTGAAGTTAATGGGATAATGCCACAGAAATGATTATGTATTTACCACTGGTGAAATTTCATGTTGCTAAAGTAATCTTCAAGTCATGTGGGGTGGGGAGAGATGACATGATTGGTGTGGAGGTTAACTTTGGAACTCTAGAATTCCCTTAAGGGCACTTTCTTGAGTGATGGAAAGTGTTCTTTGGGATATGGAATGGTATGGAATGTTAATGAAGGGGAAATGGCTGTCTTTTGCTTACTCAATCAATATAGGTTTGCCTTGCATTCTTGCATTGCAGACTGGGGGAATTCAAACATTGATCCGCGCATTGCTTTTAAACCTAAGAAGAGCCTGCTGCACCAGGCTAGCGGCTCATCTAGTCCAGCATCTGGTTTTCACACTTGCCAACCAGATGCCTGTGGGAAACCTGCAAGCAGGATTGGGGACAAGAGCATTCTCGCCTCCTGCAGTTTCCAGCAACCCGTATTCAGAAGCATTACTGCTCCAACTGTGGAGGCAGAGCATAGCCATCATAGCTAGCAGTCATCAATGACCGTCTCTTCCATGAATTTGTCAAATTCTCCATTAAAGCCACATGTTCCCATTCATCCTTCATTTAAAGTCCAAGGGCTGAGAGCCAAATTGCATGACAGCTGAGAGGTACGTGTGACTGGGAGATGCAGCCATTTGTATGTACATGCTATATATTTAGGTAAGCATGTCAAATGTGCACCAGGTTGTTGTTATCCTTGTTAAGAACCTTAAGAGTCATGACTTAACATATACAGAAAGTAAATTGTATAATGTGGTAACTATGCAGTGGTACCTTGGGTTATAGACGCTTCAGTTTACAGACGCTTCAGGTTACAGACCCAGAAATAGTACCTCAGGTTAAGAACTTTGCTTCAGGATGAGAACAGAAATTGTGCTCCGGCAGCGCGGCAGCAGCAGGAGGCCCCATTAGCTAAAGTGGTGCCTCAGGTTAAGAACAGTTTCAGGTTAAGAACGGACCTCCGGAACGAATTAAGTACTTAACCTGAGGTACCACTGTATCAACATCTCATTGCACTATTGCTTGGACTACATCTGATAACTTATTTTTAAAAAACCCGTCTTAGCTAATGGCAGTTCTGGGTTGCTTCCATTCATGTGATAACATAGTAGTGACTGCTATAAGAGAGCACTATGTTTTCCCATTTATTTTCTTGTTGGGAATCACTTTTAATATAAGCAGAGTGTTTGGTACTATTATTCCTGCTTCACCCAGGAATAATTTGCCTCCTAAACCCCACGCTTTGCCAAAGGAAATGAAAATGTTTTCGTTTCCCAGTGCTTTTTCAGACGAGACTAGTTACTCAGAATGGTTGTAATTCTCACTTCAAGCATCCAAAGACCTCTCTTTATATCCCAGAAAAGTGCAAATTATGAGAAGAGGGCTTTTCCTCATTACTTCTTTGGTGGTCAGCAGGAAGCATACCTAGCTGTAAGTAGGGTATGATGCTGATGATCAGTCCCACCATGGAGACATAGCATGAAGACATTGACATACTTTAATGGGGAACAGCGTGTTGAAGGTTGCAGGGTCAACCCTTGGCATCTACCACTTAAGGAGTCAGACTGTGGAAAGACCCCTGTATGAGATTCTTGGGAAGACTGAATGCCTTTGCAGAAGCGGGATTGTAACTTGATGATGGTGAAGGTATGAATGAACCTGTCAAATTGCATGCGTGGCTGGCAATACAGTGCAATTAGAGTTGTTGTTCACACTTTCAGCTGACAGTGTTTATCTGCTGAGAAATCCAGCAATGTGTATACCAACCCAGAGGTCCTAACTACACTTTGCATATGCATACATGTAACAAATGCCCAGTGGCTGCTTTCTCATCAGGTGGGAGATTTGGAGCAGATAAAAATGACACTTATCCTTTCCCTGCACACTGCTTCTGAACCCAAGCCACTTCCCCCTGCTTAGTTTCATTATTTTTTAAAAATGGTAGCTTACTTTCACACTTACTGTATTGAATAATAAACAAATCAGTTCAGAACAAAAACTTTAAACTCGGTTGATAAATGGCTTTCTATTAAAAAAAACAAGGGCTAGGAGACAGATGCAGACAAAAAAAGCATATTAGCAGGATTCCATTTGCTTCATACACAGAAGAGCCATTCACCAAGCTCTTTAGTCTTCCCAACCGGAGGAGCTGTGCATGTCCCTAACACATTCCTCTTGTCTCTACTCCTTTTCCCTTCATTTCTTGACTGAAACCCCCATCGCATTAGGAGACTAAGACCAGAGCCGTAGCAACGGGGAGGGCTAGCCAGGTTTTTTGCCTGGGGTGAAGCCTCCAGAGGGGTGCCACTGAGGCTCCCAACCCGTGTGTGTGTACACAAATGCATGTGGGAGGCCCAGCGATGTAGCTAGCCGCTCGGGTTCCTGGTGCGGGTGTGTGTGTCCTGCAGCTGGGGGCGGGGCGAGCTGCCTATGGGGGTGGGGCGAGCCTCTCCGCTGCATCCCCCTCCATCCCCCTCAGCTGTAGGGTGGCTGAGGGAGAGGCAACGTAGGCAGAGGCAAGTCCCATGCTGCTGTTTCAGGCAGTGCGGAACCTGCAGGTGCCTAAGTCACTGTGTCACTCCTAAAAAGTTCCTTGAGCCCATTTTTTAAAAAAACCTCATATTGTCACCCTCCCTCAGTGATGACACCCGGGGCGGATTGCACCCCCCGCACCCACTCCCTCTGCCACTGGGGGGGGCACACTGGGGGGTCTTTGACCTGGGTGAAAATAAGCCTAGTTTCGCCCCTAAGAACTATATAGACCCTCTCCAACCTTGCATTCCAAGCTCAGTGCAAAATAGTTTGGTAAAATTATAAGGGAGGGGGCAACCTGCCCTCCATCCGTGTTGCTGCAACCTTTTTGCCAAGTTTTATTCATGTTCTAAAATGAAAATAGTGAAATTCCTTGTCTGAATTCTTGTGACACTTGTAGAAAAATTGTAAAAGGGGGTAAGTAATAGCCAAATATAAACTGGATGACTTTTTGTTGATTTTTTTTAAAAAAATTGTTTCCCCATGAGCCATATTTCCAGTTTCTGAATTTACAGTTTTTCATGCTTGTTGGCTAGTTCCCTTCTTGCTCCAAGATGAATGGTGGAATTATTCTTAATTCATAGGGAAGGTATCCAAATTCTTGTCATTAGCTATGCCCCAGTTTCACTGTTAATACAGCACTTTCCTGTACTACTGTTTCTCCCTCCTGCCCTCAAATCTTATTCTAATTTAGGTACCATTCTATTTTAGTCAGCTGTTGTGTTGGTGCTCCTGCTCACTTTTGAATGGCTACAAAGTCTCTAAAGTGATGCCAGCTTGCTATCAACAGAGGTGAAGTGTTGGTGCAAGATTCAAGTATTCTTCTCTGAAAAAGTATACTAGCTGCTTTGTGTTAATCCTGTGTGTCAACAGTTCAGTGTTTGTTGGACAGGTTGGGAATGAATAAGGGTGAACAAGCTGAGGCTTGAGCTGGACAAGATGGACGTACAGTGGACGCTCGGGTTACGAATGTGATCCGTGTGGGATGCATGTTTGCAACCTGCAGTGTTTGCAACCCGCAGCAGCGCGTCTGCGCACGTGCAGGTTGTGATTCAGTGCTTCTGTGCATGTGCAAAGCATGATTTAGCGCCTCTGTGCATGTGCAACTGCCATAACCCGTTCCAGTACTTCCTGGTTTTGGCGGTTCGTAACCTGAAAAAAACGCAACCTGAAGCATCTGTAACCCGAGGTGTGACTGTACCGTGTGTCAAGAAGACAACTGATGAGGATGGAGTTGCACTTCCTTAAGCTAAGGATCAAGTCCATAGCTTGGGGTCCTTCTGAGCCGAACACAGGTGGTGTCTGTTGCTAGGTGTGCCTTGTACCCATCTAGGTTAGTACACCTGATATCTCCCTATCTAGAGACATTGGACCTTGCCCTAGTCATTGCCAGGCACTGTAATGTACTCAGGGGTGTCAACAGGACTTTCTGGGTCCACACTGTATGTCATTTGGGTCCTCTGCCCCACTCACAAACAAGACACAAATTTGCATACAGTGGTACTTAATTCGTTCCGGAGGTCTGTACTTAACCTGAAACTGTTCTTAACCTGAAGCACCACTTTAGCTAATGGGGCCTCCTGCTGCCGCCGTGCTGTTGGAGCGCGATTTCTGTTCTCATCCTGAAGCAAAGTTCTTAACCTGAAGCACTATTTCTGGATTAGCGGAGTCTGTAACCTGAAGCGTATGTAACCTGAGGTACCACTGTAGTTTTTATTCACTTTTGTGGGTGAGTTGGAGCAGGGTTTTTCCCCTCACTTCTCCCTGGCCAAATGGCTTAGGTGAGGCAACTCCCAGGAAATACGATGTTACTAATGTGAGCTTGTAGTATATGTTGTGTTGTTGCATTGCCCATTTTATTTTCCAATAGATGTATATTTAGAACATTAAATCAAGGGTGTCTCCCAGCAAAGCAGTTTCTACATCGCCTGGAGTAGCTCAGTTGGTAGAGCGCAAGACTCCTAATCTCAGAGTCGTGGGTTTGAGCCCTGCGTTGGGCAAAAGGTTCCTGCATTGCAGGGGGTTGGACTAGATGACACTCCTGGTCCCTTCCAACTCTACAGTTCTGTGATTCTACTAGCACAAGGCTTTCCGCTTGCTCCTTTCCCTGTGTGCCTCTGCATCCTTCCCAAATGTGTTGTGGAAGGTTAGAGGAACCCCTGAAACAGATTTAGGTAGGTGAGTGGGTTAGAGGAGAATGAATGGGAGCTCTATTGCACAACAAAAAGTCCTTGTGCTAGAGGAACTTCTTCTTTGGATAGTGCTCAGTGCTTTTTAAAAATACTCAGTTGTAGGCTTCCTGCATATTTAGAAGGTCTATATGAGGAGGAGAAATAGGAAACTTGGGAAATGTGCAGTGAGTGCATGTCTGCTGAGCATTTTCAGTATTATGAACAGGATCCTTTTGAATATGGCCAGGATCCAAAGTAATATGAAATTAGCTAAGTGAGCCAGAGATGTCTTTAGAATTATTGACGAATAGTAGCCCTCAATTCTTTTGCATGGTGAACTATTCTGAAATGGAGTGGAGTTCAAAGAAGGAGAAAACATTCCACAGGGCTAGTGCAATCTTATTGTAAACATTTTCCACTCATACATTTGTTTTTGGCATGTTATCCTAGGAAATGTAAGTATACCCACTAGGAGTACAAATTAACATCTGGTAGACTGCATGCCTGGTGGGTACAATTTTTTATTTAAAATATTTATAAGTCACTTTTTAGCCTCACAAGATAACTTCCATACTATATTCAAATGCAAAACAACAAATAACCAGAAAATAAAAGTAGTAAAACGATCCATAATAATATTTGCTAGTAGTATTGCAACATAAACGTAGCTGATGGCATCAACAAGGCTTAGTTGCTAATTTTGGTGCTAGAGGATCACTGCAAATGGAAACTGGTAGCTCTGTGATATCACACTGGCATTTGCTTCATTTTGAATATTGGGAAGCTAACTAAACTAAAATCAGCAGCAAGGCACTATTGCAGTCACATCGAGCTAATTTCTTAGGCTAGGTATATTGATGAGAGAACACTTCTGTAGAAGGTCATTCAATAAGACTAGTGTAAGTTATATTTAGCACCTGTGTACAGTATAACAGACTCTGGTTAGAGTAAAGCTACTATTAATACTACCCAGTTATTTATGTACAACATGAGGGGACAACCGTTGTAGAGAGAGGAAGCTTGTATCACCAGTTCTCTCCCAATACAAATTGCAGGTATGTTTCTCTCCTTCACTCCCAAATCCAGACCTGCCCCCATTCCAGGCTCCTGATCTGGACCCTTCTCTGCACCAACAATTTGGGAAAGAAAAGGTTTGCACTTGGCCCATGAACAATGACAGAGGTAATTTGGCCCTGATTTAAGAACCACTTAAGGAGTTCCTTTGTCAGCATGATTGTGTAGCTGTGGAACACCCCTGTTAAATTGTAATAAACTAAACTGGTTGAACAGGTTTGCTGCCATCTTCCATCTACAAAGTCGTGCTTCTAAACTTGTTGAAAGCAGTTCTTATCCACACAAATTGCTTTTATGAAGGATTTTTTAAAAAAAAATTACAAAAATGTTGCAGTGCGATATGCTCCCTGTTGAGGATTCCAGCTGCTCCTTTGAATTCTTCTCCTCCTCCTCTGATTTCCCAGTAGCTCTGTATCTTATCCCTATCCTTGCTTTTCATAGCATGTATTTTGTGGCCATTGAATGTTGTTGGTCCTTATTTTACCTATTTGGGAGTGAGTCCCCCTTTTAGTTTTTTCTAAACTTTTTTCTTTTTCATGTGCAAAGCTTGGGATTCTCTTGAGGCTGCTGGTATTTCTGTCACTACTGTCAGGGAACTGCCATCGGAAGGAAGGGAGGTGAAAGGGCTCACACAGGTTGGGAGAGACTCAGCAGCTGAAGAGGGAACCAGTAGGGGGAGAGGAGCTGAGCTGAGGGAAAGTGAGCTGGAGGGATGGCTCAGAGACACTTCCAGCGAAAACAGTGGGGAGGTTTCAGGACCTCCTGTAGGAACACCCACTCCTCGCCGGAAACTGTCACGCAGAGAGTCCAGAAGACGTGTTTCCGTTAAGGAGCTTTTATGTTGGAAGCTTTTTCGAAAGCAACCAGTGTCGGAATCTTCTAGTTACTAGAGGAGCCATGTCTGAGGGGCTCCGTCACAGACAGAGGTTTGTGGACTTGAACAAACTCTGTGGGGATACTATTTTACGCACAAGCAGCTCATCATCCCATCACAGCATTCCGACAGTCTTTGAAAGCAGCTTGTGCAGGAGAAGGCATCATGAGCAACCCAGCCGGAACCGGAGAAGCAGGAGCTGGAGCGGGTCCAAGCCTGGAAGAAAGGTACCGGGTGTTGGAGGTCCAGCTAGCGCTGCAGACGGCGAGGCTTGAGGAGAGGAGGGCTCAGGATGCAGACAAAAGGGAAAGCCACCCAGCTCGCCAGAAAGGTACCAGGATTGGTGCAGAAGTTTGGGGGGGAGCCCAAAGACTATCATGGCTTTCGGACAGAGATGCAATATGCCCTCAACCTGCAGTTTGATGAATTCCCTGACGAGGAATCACGAGTGGCTTTCGTGATTGGGCATCTTGAAAAGGGGGGCGAGAGACTGGGTTAGACCCCTGATGGCAGCGAATAGTGACGTCCTAAAGGACACGATGAAGTTCTTTCGCGCCATGGATCTGATGTTTTCCAGCGATATTGAACAGGGAGTGGTGCGCAGACAGTTAATGGCTTGCAAACAGGGGAGCCGATCTGTCCGTGAGTACTGGACTGAGTTCACCATGCTGGTTCACAGATTGGGGTGGGACTTATCGGCGGAACCCATTCAAATGCTCTTTGAAGAAGGGCTTTCTTCGGCTGTGAAAGACGAACTTTCCCGGGCGCCCAGGGCGGAGTCTATGGACCAGCTGACCAAATCAGCGCTGACCATAGGAGCGCGCCAGGAGGCGAGAGCATTGGAAAGGCGGGAAGGGAAAGGGGAACGTTGGAAGGAGTTCCGCATTCCAGACATTCCAGAGCCAACTTTCCCGCCGGCAGAGCCGATGGAAATCGGAACAGCGCGCGCGCGCAGTTTCAAAGCCCAGTGAGGGGGAAAGAAGGAGGGAAAAGGCGCCCGGAAATGCTATCTCTGCCAACAGCCAGGTCACTTTGCCAGAGTCTGCCCCCAGAGGAAGGAATGGCAAGGGATGGTAGGAGCTGTGGAGGGAAGAGAGGAAGAAATACCGGAGCAAGTAACAGCCAACGCCTGGCTGCCACCGTCGGGGCACAGCAGCCAGGCCAAAGAGCAGTGAGAGTGCCCACGCCAGAACCTCCTAAACCCGCACTAGTGATAGAAGTGGCGCTAGAGCTGCCAAACGGACACCCTCTAAAGATAAAGGCGCTGTTGGACTCAGGCAGCTCCTGCAATTTCATGAGCAAAGAGTTTGCAGCTGAACACCAGATACAGACGATCCCTTTAAGCCACCCCGTGCAGGTGACCACGATCGATGGCAGGGAGCTGTTGGGAGGAGAAGTCAGCTTGCAGACCGTCCCAATGGTAATGAAGGTGGCAAGGCACACCGAACTGATAGCGTTTAATGTGGCCACCTTGGGAGGAGCTCCCATTATATTGGGGATGAGCTGGCTAGCGTTACATGATCCGCTGGTGGGCTGGCATCAGAGAGTGGTTTCTTTTGGTTCGGCACATTGCTTAGAACACTGCAAAGAGGGAAAGGGTTTGGCAGGGGCCCAAGCCACCCTAGCAGGGACTGAAGTAACGGAGAACGTGAAGGTACCACGACAATACGCAGATCTCCGCGACGTCTTCAGCGAAAGGGAAGCTGACCAACTACCCCGCATAGACCCTTTGACTGTCAAATCAATTTACTCCCTGGGGCACAGCTCCCTGTAGGCAAGCTGTACGCCATGTCAGACAGAGAGATGCAGGAGCTAAGAGAGTTCATTGACAAGAACCTGAAGAGAGGGTTCATCAGAGAGTCCAGGGCGGTGGGGGCAGCCCAGTGTTTTTGTGGATAAAAACCACGAACACGCCGAGGCTGGTGTGTGACTTCAGGGCCTTACATGCAGTGTCAGAACCAGTGGCCTTCCCTATGCCCAGGATTGACGACATTTTGACAAGGGTGCGGCAGGAAAGATTTTCACAAAGCTGGACCTAAGGGGGCGTACAACCTGATACGAATAAGGAAGGGGATGAATGGAAAACCACCATGTTCACCCCTTTAGGGGCATTTGAATATTTGGTTATGCCCTTCGGCCTACAAGCAGGCTCCGCATGCTTTCAATCGTTTATGAACCACGTCCTGGGGCCTTTGCTTTACAAGAATTGTGTGGCCTTCTTAGACGACGTGTTGGTGTATTCTGAGAATGAGGAGCAGCATGTGAGAGACGTCAGAGAAGTGTTGAGCAGGCTGCAAGCCAACCAGCTGTGGGTGAAACTGGAGAAGTGTCAGTTTCATACCAAGGAGGTGGAATTCCTGGGGTATCGCCTGTCAGACAAGGGATTGGCCATGGATCCCGGCAAGGTCCAGGCGGTGCTGGAATGGAAAACACCCAAAACAAGGAAGGATGTGCAGAGGTTCCTAGGATTTGGGAACTTCTATCGTAAGTTCATCCGAAACTTTGCCCACCTGACGGCGCCCATTACGGACTGTTTCAGCAGTAAGAAGAAGTTCGTTTGGACTGAGGAGGCGGAGAGAGCATTTGAGGAACTAAAAAGGGCCTTCGCCTCGGAACAACAACTCCTGCATGTGGATTTACAAAAACCGATGCGAGTGGAAACTGACGCATCAGACAGAGCGATTGGGGCGGTGCTTCTGCAGCCAGGGAAGGAGGAGTCAGAGTGGAGACCGTGTGCTTTTTTTTTTCGCGAAAGCTGAACAAATCCGAGAGGAACTACACGGTGTATGACCGAGAACTACTAGCCATTCATGAGGCGTTCCGGAGATGGGGGCACCTGCTAATTGGCGCACAACATAAGGTGCAAGTGTGCACTGACCAC